CTTTTTTTCATTTTTTTCTCTATTTTTCGCTTCTAAGAGTTCTTGTTTGTTTGGATTATGCCTTTTTCTTGTTTCCTGGATGCAGAGTCTTATCTTGTGGGGTTTTTCGGTTCCCTAAGTTTCCTTTTTCCTTTGAGTTCCTTTATTTTCTGTTTTGGTCTATGTCTTATTAAAGAGTCTCTTTTCAGGTGTTTGGTGATTCATAGCTTTCCACTCGTATAATAGTGAAGCTCTCAGATATAATTTGAAGCTCCATGTTTGTTAGTGGTGGGCTTTTCTGTAGGATAGTTTGGCTAGGGTGTTTCTAATTGGAGGATTCCCAGTTGTTGGTATTTAAAGGCCATTTCCGCAGGGAGGAGCCCTCCACAGTTCCTATTTGGGAGGTGTAAGTCTGTTTGCCAGCAGTCTTGCAGCTCAGTGAGGTAAGGAGTGCTGGTATCTCGCTGTTCAGTAAGTAAACTTTCCTTTAATACTTTTGTATTTTCAATATGTTACTTCCACCTTCACCCGGGCCAGAGGTTCCAGAGTCTCAGCTTCCACCTCTCCAAAGAATAACCTCTAACCTTTTGTCACTGTGTGTGCATGTGCGTGCGTGCATGTGCATGCGTGAGTATAAAAGAACGAATGAGAGAGAGAATGAGAATAAGAATGTGTGTATATGTGTGTTCTGGGAGAACATGGAGGACTTTCTAAATGCTTTTTATACAGACATCTGATCAGTCCTCCTTTTTTGAATCCCACTTATACCCCTAGTACTTGTCCCTTGAAATCAGGAGTCTTTCTATATTGTATCAAATCAACCTGCTTTTGGGCTTTCCCATCTTCTGGCTTAGATTTCAGCTTTCTCTGGTCTGCTGAGTCTTTTACTACACTTCCAGTTCTTTTTACTTTCTACTTCTATGATCATCTTTTGCCTCATCTCCTATTCTCTTTTTTCCTTGTGGGTTTATGCCTTTCACCTAGATCATCTTACTCTATACACCTGCTTTCATCTAACTCCTTTTTTTTTTTTGAAATGTTGAAGAATTGCTTTTATTTTTAATTAGTTTTTTTTGAAATGTTGAACTAACTCCTTTTTAATTACCAAAGTTCTTGAAACAAACTGTTCTGTATTCATTGATTCCATGTTCTAATACACTCCTTCTAGCCTTTTAAGACTGTATGCTGTGTACTTAATCTCTTTACTAATTCACTAGAGACCACCTGATCACCAAATCCAAATTTTTTCTTAAATCCTCATTTGTTTTTACCTTTCAGTATCATCTGATCTGTTATATATGAAAAAAAAAAAGGATTCATTTTTCATGTGGTGGAAATATGCTAATGAATTAATGAAGCCTTAGTTTTGCAGAGAAATCCAGTAATTACTGTATGATAGTTTTAAAGACCTTAAATTTGGACTTTTTCACGTATATGGGCCATTTCTTTTGTGAATTGCCTGTTCAGTCTTTTTTATTTTGCCTGTTTTTCTTTTTTTTTTTTTTTTTGAGACAGAGTCCCGCTCTGTTGCCTGGGCTAGAGTGAGTGCCGTGGCGTCAGCCTAGCTCACAGCAACCTCAAACTCCTGGGCTCAAGCAATCCTACTGCCTCAGACTCCCAAGTAGCTGGTACTACAGGCATGCACCACCATGCCCGGCTAATTTTTTTTCTATATATTTTTAGTTGTCCAATTAATTTCTTTTTATTTTTAGTAGATACAGGGTCTCGCTCTTGCTCAGGCTGGTTTTGAACTCCTGAGCTCAAACAATCCGCCCGCCTCGGCTCCCAGAGTGCTAGGATTACAGGCGTGAACTACCGCTCCTCCCGGCCTGCCTGTTTTTCTTACTAACTTTTAAGAGCTCTTTGTATGCTAAGGTTATTAACTCTTTGCTACATATAAGAATTCATTTCTGGTTATTCATTTTTTCATTTTGTTTGTGTTATATTTTTATTTGTGAAGCTTTTAAGCTTTATGAAATTGTCTTTTATAATTATCTTTTACTTTTTGTATTGTGTTCAGAAAATCTTTTCTTTGCTGTGAAAGTATGTATAGTAGAATATTGTTTGTGCAGAATCTGATCTGTTCTAGATTAATAGTATTTCTAAGGGTTATATATCTTAACTAAAAACAGCACAATGATTTAAAAAACAAATTTTTTTTTTTTTTTTTTTTCCGAGACAGAGTCTCACTGTGTTGCCCGGGCTACAGTGCCGTGGCATCAGCCTAGCTCACAGCAACCTCACACTCCTGGGCTCAAGCGATCCTCCTGCCTCAGCCTCCCGAGTAGCTGGGACTACAGGCATGCGCCACCATGCCCGGCTAATTTTGTATATATTTTTAGTTGTCCAATTAATTTCTTTCTAATTTTAGTAGAGACGGGGTCTCGCTCTTGCTCAGGCTGGTTTCGAACTCCTGAGCTCAAACAATCTGCCTGCCTCGGCCTCCCAGAGAGCTAGGATTACAGGCGTGAGCCACCGCGCCCGGCCTAAAAAACAAATTTTAATGCAACTAAGGTATGGCATGGTATATGAGATATAAGGAGTGGTAAGAAATGACCAGATCTAACAGATATGTATGTCTCAGAAAACCTTTTATTTGATATAAATATATTATGTAAATTAGTTGAAGAATGTTTCAGTGTCTGTTATTTATACTACCCTTATTTTGAAATTTCTTTGAAAGCAGGAGCCATGTTTTTCTTTCTTTTCTTAATGTAATTAGCAGCACAGTACCTTCTTAATATCTTCTAATGAGTCACCCAGATATATAAATAAGTGCATCTACACATACATAAGTATGATAAGATGAATTGCATTTTTTTTGTTTTATTTTCAGCTTTTACAAGAAGCTGAAGTATGGAAAGAACAAGTGAGTGAACTTAATAAACAGAAAGTAACATTTGAAGACTCCAAAGTACATGCAGAACAAGTTCTAAATGATAAAGAAAATCACATCAAGGTAAATGGCTCTACTGGTTTTAGTGATTGAGTTGGCTAGAATTTTATACTAACTCTGAAATTTGAGAACTTTTGATTTTAGCAGTTTTTATTTTCATAATGTATTTGGCAGCATTTTCAAATGCTCCTTCAAGGCTTACAGATTTGTAGCATATATATCAACATTCTGTATGTCCTTTTTTTCTTCTCTGTATTTTAGCCTAGATATTTAACAAAGAAAAATGATAATGGTTTTTACCTTTTCTCGTTAGTCTGCAATCTGCTTCTTTTGGGAAGAAGAGATTGGAAAGAGCTTGAGAAATTGGACAGATAGTTAAAGTTATATGTATTGACTGAATATCTTTTTTTTTTAATTTTTAAATTTTTATTCTTATTTTTTAGAGGTAAGGTCTCACTCTGTCATCTAGGCTGGAGTGCAGTGGCATGATCATAGCTCACTACAGCCTCCAACTCCTAGGTGTAAGCGATCCTCCTGCTTCAGCCTCCCAAGTAGCCACAATTACAGGCATGCACCACCATGCCTGGCTAATTTTTAAAATTTTTTGTTGAGACAGGGTTTTGCTATGTTGCCTAGGCTGGTCTTGAACTCATGGCCTCCAGCAATCCTCCTGCATCAGCCTCCCAAAGTGCTGAGATTACAGGTGTGAACCACCATGCCCAGCTTTGATGGAGTATCTTTAATACCTAGATTAGCTGGTGTGTGTACTTTCACAGAGATAAGTACATCTTAAAAAATAAATTTAGGCTGGGCACGGTGGCTCACGCCTGTAATCCTAGCACTCTGGGAGGCCGAGGTGGGAGGATTGCTCCAGGTCAGGAGCTCGAAACCAGCCTGAGCAAGAGTGAGACCCCATCTCTACTAAAAAAAATAGAAAGAAATTAGCCAGACAACTAAAAATATATAGAAAAAATTAGCCGGGCATGGTGGCGCATGCCTGTAGTCCCAGCTACTTGGGACGCTGAGGCAGTAGGATCGCTTGAGCCCAGAAGTCTGAGGTTGCTGTGAGCTACGCTGACGCCACGGCACTTGAGCATGGGCAACAGAGTGAGAGTCTGTCTCAAAAAAAAAAAATAAATAAATTTAATTGAAACTTGATTCTAATCATAAGAGTGAAATAATTGATATTACTCTTAAGATTTATTGACTTTTTCCTACTCCCTACTTCCCCTCCCATTTTTCCTGTATGTTTGAAAAAAATCTTATGTTTTCAAGCTACAAACAGATACTCAGGTATATCAAGTAATGAGATATAAAACTAACATTCTGTAATTTACACAGTGGAGTGTATGTTGTCATATCGAAAGAAATACATTTATGCTAGTTATGTTGCTACTAAGAATATTTTCAAGATTCCAACTTCCTGAGTTTTATTCAGAATTTGGCATAGTTTATTTTTTTCCCTAAACTTAGTCAACTAAAGGGTTTAGAATTCTTCCTAAACAGAACAAGAATGAGATGCTAACCTCAAGTTCTACTCAAAGCTGTGGACCATGTTATTTGTGCCTGGAACTCTGAAGAGAGGGAGGAAATCTAAGGGTGAAAATTGTAGAGCAGGGTGGATTTTTAGGTGGTCCTTCCAGAGAAGTACACGGCACAGTCAGTTGATTATCTATTATAGTGTTAGAAAATCTTCCTTTATTCAAGAAAATTCAAAAAGCACTTCTGGAAAACCTCTAATGTTCCCATTCAGATTCTCTTTTATAATGTTTTTTTCTTTATCTCACTTGAACTCCTCAGCTAGTTTACGTGAATAAATCAAGTAAAAATCTAAAATCTTTTTGTATGTCGTGTCTCCGTTGCAGATTTGTTTGATATCACACAAAATTTATTCTCACGTTAACGGCCACTCTTTTGTGGCATACGAGAAACGTCATATAAGAAAACATTTTACTTCTTTATAGTTGTGTGATATATTGAGCAAGAATGGGCCATTAACACGTATTTTATTTGATTTAAGAATAACTAGTTTTGGTTTTTATCTTGAAGAGTTTAATAGTCAATATATGTTATAGATTTTAAGACTATTTACATATCTTAATAACACATGGAAAATAAGAGCTCATGTGCTGTTATTTATGTGGATTGATTTTTAAACTACAGCTGTACATTCAGAAGTTGTAAAGCCATTAGCATAAGGCATTACCCTCTCTCTTTGTTTTTCCCCTTTGCTAAATGTCAAGTCTCTGACTGAACGCTTGCTAAAGATGAAAGATTGGGCTGCTGTGCTTGGAGAAGACATAATGGATGATGATAACTTGGAATTAGAAATGAAGAGTGAATCAGAAAATGGTGCTCACTTAGGTATTAAGTCATGACTCATCCTCTTTTGCCAAAATGGTGACTAGCTCTTCTATTTCCTTTTTGTTCCCCATGTGCACCATGTTCTTTATACACTTGTACTTTGGTACTTTCTGTCTGCAACGCTCACCTCTCACCGTCTCTTATATTAATAGTTTAGCTTTGGCTGAAATACCGCCCTTTCAGTAAATCTTTCTCCAACTCCTGAGACAGACTTTCAGCCTCCTTCTCCTCTGTTTTCTTTATAGATTATATATATCTTTATTATAGCAGCTTTCAAAATTGCATCATAATCATTTCAATGCCTGTTTTTCTCTGTACTGTAAGCTAGTGAAATGGATGGTTGACTGGTTTGAAAAATGAGTATTATATGAATAAATACTTCAGGATACTTTTTTTGCTTTAGTCAGATGATCCAGATGGTTACAGTACTTTAATCTTGGCCATCTAAATTGTTATTGCCCTTTGCTGGTTGTTGTATGGAGTTGGCAAAAGTTAGGTTCCCTATTGCTACTAACTGTATTCTCAAATCAATTTTTTTTGATTTTAAAGGAAGAAACTTTTCATTTTGAAATAATTAGAGATTCACAGGAAATTGCAAAAAGAGTACAGAGGTCTCATGTACCCTTCACTCATTTTCATCCAATGGTAGTTCTG